GAGGGCTTCTAATGTCCTGGCCCCACTGGTGGACCTCCTGATGGCACCTGGTATTTCTGGCCACTGTGTGACACAGAGTGTTGGGCTGGATGGGCCTTTGGCCTGATCCAACATTTGGCTTCTCTTATGTTCTTATGTTCTGAAGAAGAAGAAGAAGCCTCCTTTACTGGACGTTTTCAAGCGGAGACTGGATGACCCTCTTTCAGGTATGCTGTAGGGCTATCTTTCGGCTCTGCTCCCACAGAGTGCAGGGGGTTGGACTAGATGACCTGCAAGGTCCCTTTCAACTCTAACATTCTATGATTCTATGAGAAGAAGAGGAGGAGGAGGAGGAGGAGGAGGAGGAGGAGGAGGAAATTGGGGTAGAGGAGATTGGATTTTTACCCCACCCTTCACTCGGAGTCTGAGAGCAGCTTACAATCTCCTTTGCCTTCCCCTCCCCACAACAGACACCCTGTGGGGTAGGTGGGGCTGAGAGAGCTCTCTCGAGAACTGCCCTTGAGAGAACAGCTCTGAGAAAACTTGTGACTGAACCAAGGTCATGCCAGCAGGTGCGAGTGAAGGAGTGGGGGAATCAAATCCAGTTCTCCCAGATTGTAATCCACGCATTTAACCACGACACCAAAGTACCAGTTGGGGCCGAACCTCCTAAGCGTCTGAGATCGGGCTAGGCTGGGGGAGGCTGCGATTCTGGGGCTGCCGAGCAAGTCAAGCAATTTGATTTCATATGATGTTTGGATCTGCATATTATGGAAGGAGGCTGGCTTTGTCTGGGCTCCCAAGGGGGGGGGACTCAACACCCCTTTTAAAAAATGGCTGTTTTAATTCATATCGTACCGGCGGCGGATTTCTCTCCTAACTTCTGGCCGCCTCCGAACAGAAGCTGCGGTTGACCGACAGGCTAGAAATCTTTCCAATGAGTCAACAAGCAAGCAAATGAACATCTTTAGAAGTTTTGACCTACGGCCCCTGGCTTGGGCACGGTCTGCCTAGAGAAAAGCCCCTCGGGAAGATCACGGCTTCTGCAAAGTGAGTTGGGGTGGGTGGCAATGCTCCCTCTAAGCTATGGAGTCTTGTGAGCAAAAATTCTACCCTGTGAGCTACCGGCATGAAAGTGGTGAGCGACCCATTTGGCTGCTGCATAAATTGTTTTGCCCTGGAGCCCTCCTTCCTGAGCGAAGACAAAAATGTCTGAGCCGGAGGCTAAAAAACTGTGAGCTAGCTCACACTCACTCAGCTTAGAGGGAACACTGGTGGGTGGGGTGTTGGGCAGAAGTCGAAGTCTGTTTCTCCGTGCTGGGTGTGGGGGGCCCCGCATCCCCTTCCAAAGGCAAGAGAGATAAGGGCCCTTCTCTTATCTCCAAAGGAAGAGAAAGAATCAAGGTCTCGTTAATAGGTCGAATTCCACAGCCAGCAGGATTAGTGGAATCAGCTGACACCTCAGAGCCCGGGAACACCCCTTAAGCTGCTAACCCCCCCCCCCCAATTGCTTTGTTAGGCCAAACAACAAATCCTTATTCCAGAGCAGCAGCAGCGTCACCCATCAGGAGATGGAAGGACAGCTGTCGGCAAGTTCTCTCAAGACCCAACCAGGGTTCCCTCTAAGCTGAATTAGTGCGAGCTGCCTCACAGTTGTTTAGCCTCCGGCCTACACATTTTTGCCTTCGCTCAGGAAGGATGGCTCCAGAGCAAACTAACTTATGCAGCAGCCAAATGGCTCGCTCACCACTTTAATGCCGGGGGGAGCATTGGACCCAACTGCTGTGTTTGGCCGAGTGGACGAGGGGCGTCAGAGAAGGCCCGGAGCGTGACGGAGAGGAGGGTTTACAGGAACCCCCGGCCACCGATTGGGGATGGGGTTGTAGGATCGCACGATCCAGGTTGGGAAGGTCCTGGGGATTTGGAGCCCAGGGAGGACAGGAACCAAGGAGGAGGAGGAGGAGGAGATTGGCTTTATACCCCGCCCTTCACTCAGACCCTCACAGCCGCTTACAGTCTCGTTCCCCTTCCCCACAACAGACACCCTGTGGGGTAGGCGAGGCTGAGAGAGCTCTTTCAAGGACTGCTTTTGAGAGAACAGCTCTGAGAGAACTTGTGACTGACCCACGGTCACACCAGCAGCTGCATGTGGAGGAGTGGGGAGTCAAACCTGGTTTTTCCGGATTAGAGTCCACACTCTTAACCACTACCAGTGTTCCCTCTAACCTGAGTTAGTGTGAGCTAGCTCACAGTTTCTTAGCCTCCAGCTCACACATTTTTGTCTTTGCTCAGGAAGGGATGGCTCCAGAGCAAACTAATTTATGCAGCAGCCAAATGGCTTGCTCACAACTTTAATGCCAGTAGCTCACAAAGTAGAATTTTTGCTCACAAGACTCCACGGCTTAGAGGGAACATTGACCACTACCCCAAGCTACACTACATCAGCAGTACACCAATGGGGTAGAATGCCATAGAGTCTATGAACTTAGGCAGATCACAAAAGAGCATGCAGGGATTGCTTAGTTCTTGTGGCCCTTTCTTACATGTCCAGGGAAATGCTGATCACCACATTGGGGTCAGGAAGCCATTTTTCTCCTGGTCAATTTGGCCGGGAATCCTGGAGGGGTTTTTTGTCATCTTCTGGGCGTGGAGCAGCGATCAGTAGAGGTGGAGGGAGGTATTGGTGAATTTCCTCCATTGTGCAGGGGGTTGGACTAGATGACCCTAGAGGTCCCTTCCAGCTCTATCATTCTGTGAGTCAGCCCTCCAAAGCCTCCATTTTCTCCAGGGGAACTGATCTCTGTAGTCTGGAGATAGGCTGTAATTCTGGGGGATCCCCAGGTCCCACCTGGAGGCTGGCACCCCGAACATCAACATACAGAGAAATACCATATCGATTGCTTGTGACATGTGCCCAATGCACAACTAAGCCTACATTCAATGTACCTTGGAAGCTCCTTCGCACACTGCTGGAGAAGCGTGAGAACTGCTTCTGCTCAGCTTCTCCCTGGGCAAACATGGCGATGCCGGCAAGTCTAGAACTGCAGGCAAGGGCCATCTCGCAGGTCTTCCCCGTAAACCCAACGCCCGGTCACTGCAGCAGCCCACAAAAGGCACGTAGAAGGCTTCTGGAAACTCAGTTCAGAATTATGCAAGCCAGATCTCGCTCCGCTCCTGCGACTGGATCCAGAAGACTCAGATGTGTGAGACAAACCCAGTGGCCCACACAGATCCACAACTGTCTCTGCCCAGTGTGTTCTCCTAAGTATGCTGACATCCAGACATTAATAGGATACAACAGAATAGAGGTCCATCTAAAACGAACTGGAATTCAAAAATGGATGGGTACCTTTTTAAGAACATAAGAAGAGCCCTGCTGGATCAGACCAATAATCCATCCGGTCCAGCATCCTGTCTCACACAGCGGCAGGGGTCATTTCCTGCCGGAGCGCACAGGAGCGGAGCTCCGGCAGTAAAGAGCCCAGGGGGCGGGCACATGCAACAAACCCCGCCCCCTGCTCCCAGCAGCCCTCAGTCAGAGCAAGAAGCAGCCAGGTACGTTGCAGAGCCCGCCCCCCCGGTCCAAAACATTTCTCAAGTGGCACCTTTAGGACCAGGTTTTATTCAGGTATAAGCCCTCCCCGCGAAGACACAGCTCCCCGTTCCCCCCCCCCCCCCAAATAGCTAGCAATCCAAAACAGTCCAGTGGAGCCTGAGCGGTGGGTGTTGCCTTCTGACACACTTCCGGTGATGTCAGGGGGTGTGGCATATGCAAATAAATTATGCTAATGAGTTATGCTAATGAGCCCCTGCACCTCTTTACGAAATGACCCCTGCACAGCGGCCAAGCAGTTCCTCCGGAGCACCAAATAAATAGTGCACAGAGACCAAGGCCTTCACCTGAGGTTGCCTCCTGGCTCTGGGATTCAGAGGATTCATGCCTCTGAATGTGGAGGTTCCCCTCTGCCACCATGGCCAGTAGCCATTGAAAGACTTCTCCTTCATGAATCTATCTATAAGAACGAAAGATGAGCCCTACTGGATCTGACCAATAGTCCATCTAGTCCAGCATCCTGTCTCACACAGTGGCCAACCAGTTCCTCTGGATGGCCAGCAACAGGGCACAGAGGCCGAGGCCTTCCCCTGAGGTTGCCTCCTGGCTCTGGGATTCAGAGTATTCGTGCCTCTGAATGTGGAGGTTTCTCTCAGTCATCATTGCTAGTAGCCATTGATTATCCTCCATGAATCTATCGAATCCCCTTTTCAAGCTGTTTATTTCTGTGGCCATCACTACATCCTCAGCAGCGAAATCCACATTTTAATCACTCTCTGTGTAAAGAAGGATTTTCTTTTGTCCGTCCTAAACCTACTGCCCATCAACTTCATTGGATGCCTTCAAGTTTTAGTCTTTTAGGAGAGAGAGAGAGAGAGAGAGAGAAATTTCTCTTTGTTAGGTCTCTCCACCCCATGCATAACTTTATTAATCTCTATCATGTCCCGCCTTAGTCGCCTCTTTTCTCAACTGAGAAGTCCCAGACCGATTTCACACAAGAGCTGCGCCGCAGTCACGCCTCCCTTTGTCCCGCTTCTATTGGTCAATTTCCCACTCGAAGCCATGCGGCCGCGTTTTGACCTGCAGCTTCGCCCAATTTTCCCCGCGGTTTCGTGATCCTCAAAAAAACAGGATCACGAAACCGCGGTGGGAATTGGGCAAAGCTGCAGGTCAAAACGTGGCTGAAGAGACTGGGACCGATTTCACACAAGAGCTGCGCCGCGGTCGTGCCTCCCTTTGCCCCACTTCTATTGGTCAATTTCCCCCTCGGAGCTGCGCAGCCACGTTTTGACCCGCAGCTTTGCCCAATTTTCCCCGCGGTTTCGTGATCCTGTTTTTTGAGGATCAAAGGGAGGCACGACCACGGCGCCGCTCTTGTGTGAAACCAGTCCCAGTCTCTTCAGCCTTTCCTCGCAGGGAAGGCGCTTCGGCCCCCTCATCGTCTTGGCCGCCCTCCCCTGCACTTTTTCCAGCTCTGCAAAGTCCTTTTTTGAGATTTCTGCACTCGAGGAAGCAAATTAATAAGACAGACCCCCGAGGTGATGCAACCGCCGGTAAACAAATTGTAATTCCGTACAGAAAGGCAAAAAAACAACTGAATCGCCATCCTCCATCTCACCCCTGTCAAGATCCTTCCTGCCCCTAGATACGGCCTTCGCTGATAAGGCTGTTCCTTTGTACCACACACCAGATATCTTGCAGTTCATAGGATCAGAACGTTTGCCGTTTGTTTTGGTCGAAGTCTTCGCTTCTCGACGCTGTCTGGGTTCCCCCCCACCCCATCGAAAACCTCGTATGAATCAATAATTGCAATAATGACCATTAGTGATAATAGCGGTCCATTTAAAACCAAGCGCGTTCTGCTATAACGCTTTGCGTGACCTTTCTCTCCCGATACCGGCTTATCTTGGGAACGAGGACTTTACTCAAGAAAGCAAATCAGGAGACTGGAAACATTCTGTATGCAGGTCTTTTTTAAAAAAAGAAAAAAGAGGGGGGAAAGATGTCTGCCCCGGAGGCTACACAATCCCTTTGACGCTTTAAGAATAACGTGCCCTTCCTGCATCTAGCTCAAGGTCTGGACTATTCTGTTTCCTTTCCCTTTAAGTCAGTGCAAGTTTTTGGAAGGCTGTAATGGAGGACACACACATACACACACCCGTCCCCAGTTTGTTTGCTGTAGCGTGGAGAAGCAATATAACCTTGCCCTTTATGACATTTTCAGTAAGTGGGCATTTCCCTGTAGTCATGACTGGTGCACAAAATGAGATGTCTTCGACTAGCCTGCAAAGATGTCCGGGGTATTGGGGCAGAGGTCCAGTACAGGAAGTTCTCCTCTCTTCCTTCCCTTTGTACCTACAGCAAGAGCAGGTCTGGCAAGCTGGGGGAACTACCCAAGGGGATCCTGACAGAAGATATACTTGCAAAAGGCTTCCGTTCCCTGGCAAGGGGAAAGTTTGATAAGACAGGGTGTGTTTTTTTAACGTATTTCCTTCATTTATACCCTCCCTTTCTCCCCAGTGGGGGGGGGAGAAGAAGGAGGAGGAGGAGGCGATTGGATTTGTACCCCGCCCTTTGCTCAGAGTCTCAGAGTGGCTTACAGACTCCTTCCCCTTCCCCTCCCCACAACAGACACCCTGGGAGGCAGGTGGGGCTGAGAGAGCTCTGACAGAAATGGCTCTTTTTCAAGGACAGCTCTTGTCAGAACCACGGCTTTCCCGAGGTCATCCAGCAGCTGCAAGTGGAGGAGTGAGGAATCAAACCCGGTTCTCCCAGATTAGAGTCCACACACTTAACCACTACACCAAACTGGCTCTCTGCTCGCTTATGTGATTCCCCTCTGTTAAGTCCTGAGCTTAACAAAGAGTCAGAGAGTGATTTCAGCCAAAACTCAAGTTTATTCCTCTTCACGATCACTTCTCCAACACGGTACAACATCTGATAGCCCGAACAGTTTGCCCATTGAAACTGCTCGGTATTTAAACATTTAAACATTCCCGGCTAATATAGCCACTCCTACTTTACAGATAAATGCCAATCACAAACGTTCCCGCTTGCGGCTTGCTTGAATGTTATTGGTCGCATTTGTCTTGGCTTGAATCCCTGGCCAAGACGAAGCTATACATTGCTTTCCAATGAGATGTTTCACGTTACATCTAATGCATTCATGGCAGCATCTGAATACATTACACCCTCTCCTCCATTTCCTCCTCACAACAACTTAGGGCTGCCGGGTCCTACCTGACTGCTGGCAGGGGGACTCCCGATCCTTCCTGGATCTCTCCTGGCTGGCTCTGCCTAGGCTTTGGGCAAACTCTATTGGGGGGGGGGGCTTCAAAACCATAGAGTTTTGCCCAAAACGTAGAGCATTGCCCCCAATGTCAGAATCGTGATGAGGTCACTCCCGGGTGACGTCATCACACCAGTGGTGCCGGGAGGGGGCTTCTTGAGGTGGGGCTTCCCCCACTGGCCATGGCGGATTGGGGCCCCTGAAATCAGGGGATCTCCTGGCCCCACCGGGGGAATGGCAACCCTACAACAACTATAGCAGGGGTCTCCAACACGGGGCCCGTGGGCGGCACGACATCCACCAATATCTTTCCTGGCGTCTGCCAAGTCTTTTTAGGAAGCTGGAGGAGGTAGGTACATCTTTTGCCCAGCAAGGCTTCTGAAGGACTATCGGAAATTTGACTGGCTGTGCGGATTTTTTAAAAGGTCGTTCTGGCAGCAGCTGCCACCACCGCACAAGGATCTGCACTGCGTGACTGAAGTAAAGCTGCGGTGGCCATTTTGTGGCGGGCCCCGCCTCCTGTGGCAGCCATGCTGTGTCAGAATTCCAAATGTGCCGGCAGGTTCAAAAAGGTTGGAGATCGCTGAACTATAGCCTGAGGTACGTTAAGCTGAGACTGGCCTATGGTCACCCAGCAAGCTTCCCAGGGCAGAGAGAGAATTCGAACCCGGGTCTCCCAGATCCTAGCCCGACATTCTAACCACTACACCCAAGCTGTCTGTCTGAATGTGGAGATAAATCTCTGAAGAGGTTGCACGGCTAAGACACCCTGCAATAAACACATACCCAAATATACGGAATAATTTGTGATTATCCTATGATATACATCTTTGGGCTCCGTAAAAAAAATCAGGCATTTTCCTAAAACCAGTAGAGTCCCCTTGGTCTAGTCCACAAAAGCATTTGCTAGATTCTGGTTTAATTTTGTAGCAAGAAAACCCCTGTGGACTTCAAGTTGGTCAGTCTGTAACTTAGTCCAGCATAGCTATACTTAGACTGGTATATAAGGAATCTATGTGTCTTGTCGGGATGCTACTGAATTTTTCCTCCTTGCTGGCTCAACTAAAAATATCTATTTTAATTTCACCCCTTCCTTGTACATACTGAACCCGGGAGTCTTTATCTGCATGCTCAAATTTTCCCCATCAAAATTAATGAATTTTTCAACCTTTAAAAATAAAAAAACCCGTTGCATCAAAACGGCATGCAAGAAACT